AAAAAATGCTCAACTGACTACTTTTGGAATACGAGACGCTCGAATTTCTGTGAAGCTCAGTGGGGTAGTTGGCTGCTTTGATTAAGAATTTTGCTTTACTCTTGATAGCACTTTATTATTGCATTAAGGTAAGTGTACGCTATAAGCTATGCTGCAAAGGCCAAACTTGCTGTTTTGCCTGGAAATTGTTCTATAGGGAATGGCATGCTAACGTAACTCATATCCACATGAGTTTTTAGCGGCTGGGCGATTTTACCCCTCCATTGCATATCTACGCTACTTCTATAGTAAGGGCCTAATGTGCAGCACGGATATGATTTTCATAATCACCATGTTTAAGTACAGTAGCATACTTTTAGGCAAATCATCCATTTTGAACCTTGCAGCGTTTCCCTAATACTACAGTAAGGTCCTATCGTTATGTGTACGATGTTCGTTCTCAGCGTAACAAATTCTCTCGTGTTATAGCAATACTGAGCTTCTCATACTCTCCACACTTTCATTTCCAATCACTTCTAATTCAGCGAAACCGAAGTCATTAATCAAGCCAATTATGATATTCTATAAAGGAAGCTTCTTCTTTCGCATGATATACAGTGTTTTGCCAAACGCTGGTTTTCTGGAAATTTTTGAATTTGAAGAAATGGCACGTACTTATCCGGCAACTCAATAAAAGCGGATTAGGAACTATCTTTCACTCAAAAGCTTTAAAGGTGCTTTAACAATGGACATCATCTATGTGACGTGTTTGGTTTGAAAGTTACATAACATTTTGTCGTTTTGAAAGATTATAGTTTTAATTTATCCATCATATGCTCCTCCTCATTTTTCTATCTCAATTCTGTCAAACATGTGGGATCTCTCAAAATCTGTAGAGAAATGATAAATGTTAATTGTAAAGTAATCAGATTTAGCCTCCTCCGCACAAACGGTTGAACTCTGATCATCTCGGAACGCAACGTCCTGAGAAAATGGGAATCAATGGTAAACTTGATGACCGTGACGACTATGAAAGAGTTGCTATACTCGACTTCGGCGCTCAGTATGGCAAGGCGAGTTATTTGATGTTCTCCTTCAAAGGCAATGTTCACATTCTGCTGTACAATCTCAATGTTGTTACTAATTGTTTCACTCAATATCTTGTTCGACGTAGCCGTAGTTGGTTTTAAATTCGTCTTCTATGTATCTGCCAAGTAGCATTGTCTGATTACGCGATTAGGGATGGTTCAAAATTGCCAAATCTGACTACTCTTGTTTCATGTCACCGAATCACAGGCTGATCAGTAGTTAACAAACGATTCTTACTTACCTGTTTTTGCGGCGTGCAAGAGTGGAATGGCCGCTTCAGCTTTTTCGTAACCCTCATTAAAATTTTATCTTTCACGCTCAGTGTTAAATATCTACTCTACAAAAATATCAGCTCTTCGATTGCATGACATGAGGAAGATAAGCAAGCAAAACTTTAGCCGAAGCATCGTCGCATTTGATTACAGTTTGAACGTGCCAGTCAAGTGTGCATCTACCAGGATTTAATAAAATATGAATTCCTTGGCTCAAACACATTGTTCCTGATTGTTGTTACTTTTGAGAATCTACAAGTGTTAGTCGATAATACAGTACTTTTTGGGCTAGTCTAATAAAGAGTGAATATTTGACTAGAACTTATAAACAAAGAACATTTTTTATTTTTATCGTATTGAAACAATCTAGAGTATCAGCATAAGTTTGTTTATATTTCTAAAAACGAAGTTCTTGCAAACACTTGTGTTTCGCATTCTCCCCGCATAAGTTCCTTCCTAAATGGTTTGATTGGTCGTTCAGCTATCATTCTTTGCTTCCTGCATTTTGCTGCATGAATTTTTCGACCTCAGATTCACATATATAAAAAATTTGGAGATTGACACCATTTTATTGACTCGTGAAGTTGGATCATGATCAATTGGATGTAATAATGTAGACCCAACCCCCAACAAAAGTCTAGGCCGGACCTTTACCTGTACTCATCACCATGCCATTCATTATCGTGATTGTTTATTTCACTGTGAACAGGAAGAACAAAACCGATGTATGCGTGATGAGGAAGAAGCGGGAACATTGTTATTGACTTGCGATTTGCTTCTTGAAAGTATATTTATTAATTGTCTCTTTTAAACGTAGAAACGTAAATATCTTGTGAAAGGACAGTTGTTCAATTAGAAAAAGAACATTTTTCTATAGATTGGTACTCCAAAAAAACTTGCTCTTAGGTAATCGACCGTCGAGTACGCGAAGCCAATGTTCTTTCTGAAATGTTCCCTCTGAAAACGAAAGCTAAAGAGATATTATGCAGGGGAAACTTCAAGTGAGTATATGTTCCAATTCAGTAAATTAATAAAATCTTTGCGAATTGCTTTATAGAGCAATTATAATCTCTGGCGGACCCAATTCTGTCTATGCTGAAGGAGCCCCACAGATTGATGAAGAAATATTCAAATGTGGTTTGCCCGTTCTGGGAATATGTTACGGATTCCATGTATGATTGCGACTAAACTTATATTAGGGGTACCATTCTATCCACTAATTTAGTTGTTAAACAAGTGGCATGGTGGTACTGTTGCAAAAGAACATATCAGAGAAGATGGGCAATGTACAGTTCGATTAGATACTACATGTGATCTCTTTCATGAACTCAGTGAAAATGAGCAGGTATGATCAACTTCTCGTTCACAAAGGATCTTAGATTGTTGATAGTGATTCTTGTAGGTACTTTTGACGCATGGAGATTCCGTAACAGAGGCAACCGTGGCTCCAGGCTTCAAAGTGATTGCGAC